TATATATAATTTAATATAAATTACTATTTTATTATTATATTACTACTTAAGTAATTGTATTTTTTTTGTTTATTTATTTTATTTATTTATAGATTTATTTTTACAGATTTTTGCATTATAGTAAGGAAAAATTTGCTCAATGATCAGGAAAATTATGTCACAATGCAAAAATAAATATGATTTAATATTATTTACTATTTTATTATATTACTATTTTATGTTTTTTTTTACACTACAGATATTTTGCATTCCACTAATGAGAATTTAGAGGGTAAAATGTGCTTAATTAGCAGGAAAATTGTCACAATGCAAAAATTTATATTATTCACTATTTTATTATTACTATTTAAATAATCTTTTCAAATTGCAGATTTTCTTGAATTGCAGTAATGAGATTTTAGGATATAAAATGTGCTTAATTATCAGGAAAACTGTGTTAATGCAAAAATGTAATATTTAATATCAAAGTATTATATTTGTTCAAAATATAATTTATATTGGTGAAATATGAGCCAGAGAAGTTCTTGACTATTTTAGTGAGATTCACAGTTAGATTTAAATGATGGAGCATTGTGAAGGCAGCACCCTGCGTCTCTGCTTTAAAACATGCGCTAATTGAATCTCTAATTATTGGCGAGTGTCTGATGAGATCCAGACCCGAGGACTGAAGTCATTTCATCAGCATCTGTGTCAGGAAGACATTGGGATATGGTCCAGACGCGGTGGAGCTGCTCCTCTCTGTGCAAACATGCTCCGACTTCAGTTCATTCTGATTCAGGAGAAGTTTCAGAGCAGGAAACACATGCAAGCAAACAGCGCAGTGAGTGGATATTTGAACTGAGAATTGATTTCTATCTCTTGAACTGCTTCAGACTGACTCTAAATGGCAGCACACTTACAGACAAAATCCAATTCCTCTGAAGATATCTTTATCTACACATTTTGGAGAGATCAAACTGCAAACTCATCATCCATTTATATATATATATATATATATATATATGCATTATACTATATTTAAAGGTGACATATCATGAAAATCTGACTTCTCCAGGTTGTAAGTGCTATAATCAGGTCCCCGGTGCATCTACCAACCAAGGAAACGTGA